CAAGAGTGATTTTAATGATAAACTATGGAATCTAAACTGGGTAAGTCATGAGGATTGGTGACTGAGAGAAAGTAGTAGGCTCAGTTGATGCAGGGTCTTGGTGAGGTCAAAGAATTACTGGAGTTGATGTAGAAGTCTACTACAGTAAGTAAGCTTTGCGGGTGAGGAGATGGTGGCTAACAAATGAGATCCCTAAGCTTGATCGTCAAGGTCAAACAGACCTGCAGCCAGCCCTGCAACATCTCTGTGTACATTAGAAAAGCCCCCTACCCCTTCCTTTCCATTACCATTGAGTCAATTCCAACTCATAGTGACCCCACAGAATGGAGCAGAACTGCCCCATAGGGTTTACAAGGCTGTTGATCTTTACGGAAGCAGACTGCCACGTCTTTCTCCTGCTGAGCGGCTGTTGGGTTCGAATAGCAGACCTTTTGGTTAGCAGCCGAGCGCTTTAGCCACTGTGCCACCAAGGCGCCACCTCTTCCTTCTTGTTGTTGTTGTTAGGTGTCATCTAGTCAGTTCCGACTCATAGCGACCCTATAGGACAGAGTAGAACTGCCCCGCAGGGTTTCCAAGGAGCAGCTGGTGGATTTGAACTACCAACCTTTTGGTTAGTAGCCAAGCTCTTAACCACTACACCACCAGGGCTCCACCCCTTTCTTAGTACACTTAATTTCCTCCTGCCAGGGAACTGTCCTTCTTCAGGGACTGATCCCTCCTAATAATGAGTCCAGTGAGATGTAGTCTCGCAATCCTTGCTTCTAAGGAGCATTCTGGTTGTACATGCTTGGTAAAGTAGAGGGTCAGCAAAAAAGAGGAAGACCCTCAACGAGATGGACTGACACAGTGGCTGCAACAATGGTCTCAAGCATAACAATTGTGAAGATGGTACAGAACCAGGCAGTGTTTCATTCTGTTATACATAGGGTCGCTATGAGTCAGAAACGACTTGACGACACCTAACAACAACATAATAGGGAATTACAGCAATACATATACAAATCTATAGCACTTATGAGGTGAGTGGCACTTCCTTAAATTAGTCCCATTGTGGGCCATGCAAGAAACTGGCAACAGGGGGCCACAGGGAAGTTTTTAAGGAGAAGAATAAGATAATCTGATTTATTTTTTAAGGACTACTCCAGCGGCAGTAAAGATACTGAATGGGAACTGGAAGAGACTCACAGCAGAGAGGTTCAGGAGGTGCAAAAATTTAGACAAGAGACAATGAAGGCATATTATCTCCGGTAGTGTTGATGGGGATGTAGATGCCAGATCTGAAAGATTTCATAATTAGAAACGGTAGCATTTAGCGACTGCTTGGATATAAAGTGTAGAGGAGAAGGGAGATGCAAGGCTGACTGGTGGTTTCTAGTTGTGAAGACTTCGTGGGTAGTGAGTGTTAACTCCTCAGATTAGATTACATGAGGAGGAGCAGGTTGGCACAGGCATATATGTTTCCTCATTGAAAAAAGCCATTAAAATAGGTACTTGGGTACCTAAAGAACTTTAAAAAATATACCTATACTATTTTTTGATTATTTTTATTAATTTATAATTTACTGTAATATTTTACTCCTGGGTACACAAAGGATGAGCAATCTAACAATTCATTACTCTCTCTGGATAAATAATCTCTAATTACATAAATTATATAACTCTACATAGAAAAAAAAACTATTGAATAACTTAGACACAGATCTTTTTTTGCCTATGTTTTGAGTCAAGCATCACTCCCTCGCTTATTCATTCAACAAATATTCATTAGGTCTATGGTCTGGGTATATAATGGTGTAACAATGGTGCGAACTGTAAAAATGTCATGGTGGCAGTGTCTGACTGCTTTGTCTGACTTCACAAGGGGGAGGAATCATTAGCATCAACAGCTCAAGGTGGATTCCTTTGAGGTGGAGGTTAGACATATTTCCCTCTCCAATCTTTTTACCAATTCTGACACCAGCTGTCCCTCCCACAGCACTCTTTACCTCTCTGTTGGATTTGATAATTTATTGCAATAGCTACACAGAACTCACAGACAATACTCATGATTATGGGGTTTATTAGGGAAGTAATAGGTTACAGTTTAAGATCAGGAATGACTCAGGATGCAGTTCTCTGGCCAGGACAGCTTCTTCTCAGCCATGCCCACAGGCAGGCCTCTCTCTCGGCCCTCGGCCCCTCGGTCCCTCAGCGCCCCTGCCCTGCTCGAGCAAGTGTTACAAAGCTCTTTAGCTCCTCCAATAAGTGCCCAGGGACGCCCTACTCTGCCAGTAAGCCTCATCCTTAAGGCACTCAGCTCTCTCTCGATTAGTGGGTTGGCGAGCCTAGATCTGCCAAGTGTCTAGAGGTACCATACTCTACTAGTAAGCCTCCTGCCTGAAGGCACTCGGCTTTCTCGCTCCATGGATCAGCACACCCACTGTAGCCAACTTGTTCTGTGGGCCAGAAAGCCCATCACGCTGTCTTGTACCACTCTCCTGGTTCTGTTGCTGCCACTTCTCTACCACCACTCCTCACTGTCTCCTGGTTCTGCTGCTGTGTTTCTCTGCCTCCACTTTTCGTCATCTTGTGTCATGTCTGGTGTTATAGCTTTCTCTGTCTCCTAGGTCTAGGAGGTTCTCAGCACAGGGATCCTGGGTCCAAAGGATGTGCTCCACTCCTGGCTCTTTTTCTTGGTGGTGGTGAGGCCCCCTCTTTCCGCCTCTGGGATGACTCACTTTAAGCCTAGTGGGATGGCAAACCTGACCAATCCCCTTGTTAGGGTTCCATACACCTTATTTGCATGGTCCTGCCCCCACAAGGGTGCCATGAACCTTATTTGCATTATCAGCAAGCTGTCCAATTCCCTTGGTGGGCCACAAGCACCTTATTTGCATAGCTTCCCCAATAATTTGGTGGGAGTTACAAGACCATGGAGAGAAAGGCCATATAAAATCAATCTGTTGCACTGCAAATGGTAAATAAAGCCAATACGGCTTCTGTGCTCATGAAGTTTATAGTCTAACAGTTGAGATAAGTAACTAGCAGGCAAACAAAAGATAAGTATATATTATGACAAGGGCCAAGGAGAAATAAAATAAAGTGTTGCAATAAAGAATAAGAAAGTGGAAAAAAAAAAAAAAAAAAAGGATACCAGTGGAACATATTTCAGATAGATGGCTCAAAGAAGGTATGAATTAATTCAAAAGAGTCAGATGAGCAATGAGTTGGGGGTGGCAGAGGAGGCAGAAAGACATTCTAAACAGAAAAAATAAGCAAGAAAGAGCCTGAGGAATTAGAACAAGCCAGGGAGGCTAGCATGTAGGAAAGGAGGCAAAGAGGTTAGAGAGGTAGGCAGGGGGCATAACATTTATTCAGAATCCCTGTTATGTGCTCAACACTATGGGAGAAGTATACTTTTTTCAAGAATTGTTCTATTTATAATTAAATGATATTCCGTGAGTGTCTTTAAGTCCTCCCTTTTCTCCTAAACTTAGACCCTTTCCTAAATATGAGATTAAAAAAAAAAAAAAAATAAGTGCATGTGTAGTGGATGCTGTGGTGCACACCCAGGCCTGTCTTTTCAGGAATGAGGTGCTCATTCCTCCAGCTACAGGGAGTGTCCACTGCAGAGAGTAAAAGCTCCCACTCTCAGTTGAGTTCCTTTTTGGGAATTGTCCTCAGTCTGAGAGCTCACTCACCCAAGATCACACCCTGAGTGTTCGAGGAGGGCAGCCAGAATCTAATGACAGTGCAGGAATTTAAAGGCCAGGCCCTCTTGCCTTAAGGCTGGGCAATTCTGAGGGGTCATCCCAGCTCCAGAGTTCCCCGCAGAATTAGCGGAGGCCTTTGCTGGGGCTGCATTGTAGTTCAACTCCTCCTTTGGCCCACTTCCATTTTCTTCACTCCCCCAAAGTTGTTGATCCCAATGGTAGTCCCTAATAAACTTACTACATGGAAACCTTTGTCTCAGATTCTGCTTCCTAGAGAACCCAACTTAAGACCGTAGGTACATATTACGTATCTACACATATCTCATTATTTATAGTCAACATTTCAAGGAGTTACTTCCTGTTTTGTATTTGCAGGGAATTTGATGATGATGATGTTGATGATGATAGAAGCTTTAGAGAACTCACCTGTGTCAGGCTCTATGCCAAGAATTTTATATACATCTGAATTTCATTTAATCCTCACATACTATTATCATACTATTTAATATATTCTGAACTGGAGCTGTGAAGATTAAATGACCTGACCAATGCCACACAGCGAAAAAGAGAGCTGAGTGTAGGATCTAGTGGCTCTTAAACCAAGTGCTCTTAACCATCCCGATACACTGTTTCGCTAAGACTCATTAATTTTAGTAGTACATTAAATTCTGTACTCTGTTAGTGTGATTACCTATGATTAAAAAAAACAAAAAAAACTCATGTGCTTACAATTAAATTATATGTTTATTATTAGCTTCTTATAAGAAGTTGAAGTAGAAGAATTTCCTCTATTAGTCTAATTGAAGAAGGATAAGAACAGAAATTCTAAATTTTCTAAGATCTAATTTTAAGATATAATAGGATTAAATGCTTATTTTATCAATTACATGATCACAAATATGGTAACTACTGCTGGAAGACTCTATGAAGAAGACCGCCAAAGATAGATGCTTCGGCCCCAAGAACAGCCAGAAGCACTGAGACCTTATCAGAAGTTGAACAGTAAGGTAATAATTTGCTACATGTTTTTAAGCTAGCTACATAGCTACAAAGAAGTGTTAATAAATAAAGATCAATATTCTGTGCTGGGGTCCCTATATATAGCTATTTTCCAAGCAGATTGATATTAACTAAAAAATATAAAGATAAGAATATTTTGATTGCTGAAAACAGAAGGTTTCAGTCTTAAGTTTCTCATTTAATTGTCTCTTCCCTTTGAATATTCATTCTCTCAATTGCCCTGATATTATATAAGAATTCACAATGTTGATCGACAAAGAAAAGACTAGGTAGAAAAGAAGATCTTACCTGACCAATAATGAGAGGAACCACAACGGTCATAAAAAGCTGAGAAAAAATAGATGTAAAAGGCACAGAGGAGGATGAGCCAAGCTGTAAAACAAGAAAATAAGAGGAGTTAAGAATTATTTTGAATCCGTTATCAAACATTTCTGTCAATTAAATAATGCAATAAATTAATTCTCTCATACACTACAAAAATATGGTGGTCATATACAAAGAGCAAATGAAGTTACTTTCAATTTACTAAATTTAACACAAAATACTTTTAATATATAATTTTTTTAATTTAAAATTAAAAAAACTGATTGTGTTTAGGTGAAACTTTACAGTGCAAATTAGTTTCTCATTCAAAAATTTATATTCAAATTGTTTTGTGACATTGGTTGTAATTCCTGCAATGTGTTGGCACTCTCCCCTTTTCCCTTTACATCTCGGGTTCCCTGTGTCCATTTGTCCAGTTTTCCAGTCCCTTACTGCCTTTTTGTCTTTGCTTTTGGGCAGATGTTGCCCATTTGGTCTCGTATACTTGATTGAACTAAGAAGCATGTTCCTCATGTGTGTTATTGTTTGTTTTATAGGCCTGTCTAATCGTTAGATGAAAGGTGGACTTTAATATGTAATTTTTATTGGGAGATTAAAATTGAAAAAAAACTATTGCTTTGCAATTAATTTACTTATTATTGAATACATTTCTGAATAATACAGTCATTCTATGTTCATACCATCTATAATCATATGGCATGATATTTCATCTCTAAACAGTTTGTGTGATTTTATTTCACCTGTCTGCAGGTACCTAAAACACACAAACATGTCTCATTATTCTCTTAGTAATATAATATTTTTATTTATTCAATTAAATGGTTTCCAACTTTGCCACTCCTTGGAAACAAAGGCAATAAATCTCATATCATTTATATTTTATTCTTACACAAGATCTAACAAATGTAAATTCTGAACCATAACTTATTTTTCAATTTAAAATTTCAATATACCTTTCCTAAATTCCTATGTCTTAACACTTGTTTCAGTTATCTAGTGCTGCTGTAGTAGAAATACAAGTGGATGGCTTTAACAAAGAGAAATTTATTCTCTCACAGTCTAGGAGGCTAACCTGTTCCTGTCAGGTGGATTCCGACCCCTAGTGACCCTAGAGGACAGAGTAGAATTGCCCCATAGGGTTTCCAAGGAGTGACTGGTGGATTTGAACTGCTGACCTTTTGGTTAGCAGCCATATCACTTAATCACTGTGCCACTAGGGCTCCTCTAGAAGGCTAGAAGTCCGAATTCAAGGTGCCAGCTCTAGGGGAAGGCTTTCTCTCTGTGTTGGTCTGGTGGAAGGTCCTCGTCATCAATCCTCCCCTGGTCGAGGAGCTTCTTAGTGCAGGGACCCGAGGCCCAAAGAACACTCTATGCTCCTGGCTTTTGTTTCTTGGTGGTATGTGGTCCCCCATGTCTCTCTGCTTGCTCCTCTCTTTTATATCTCATAGAGATTGGCTTAAGACACAATCTAATCTTGTAGACTGACTCCTGCCTCATTAACATAACTGCCACTAATCCCATCTCATTAACATCATAGAAAATAGGATTTACAACACATAGGAAAATCATAAAATGGTGGACAATCACACAATACTGGGAATCATGGCCTAGATAAATTGATACACATATTTTTTGGGGCACAATCCAATCCATAACAACACTGTTCATAATTCCTATTTTTTCTCTTTCCTCATTTTTTGATCCTTTCTTCACTGATTGCAGTCTCAGCTTTATAAAGATTCTATTTCCAGCAGCACAAGTCAGTGTTTATCTGTGTACAGTGTCCCACATCCATATTAGCTTCAACCATCAAAAACTGCTAAGTCTTCCTATTAACTTTCTAATGCTTTTCAAAATCTTCTGCTTTTCAAACCTTCCTGGAAAAACAGTCTGTTCCATAGATTTTTGTCTCTTGCAGGAGTCCCTTTTGCGATCAGGTTCTCTCGAACCATCAGTAATCACCTCCTTGGCCCCTGGAACTCACTTTTCCATCTTTCCTCTGTACTCTAAACTTTCAGTTTTTCAGATTTTACCGAAGTTTGGTTAAACTTGGAAATGTCATCTGGAAAACGATGCTTACCAATGACATCGAGGTGGTGATGACTGAGGGCATACAATGTTGAATAAAACAAATTAAATATTTAGATAAATTAATAGTTTAGAATGAAATGGTATGGTATCAGTGTTTTCACAGATTTCTACTGATTTCTGCATGATTTGATTTACCAAATTTTTTTCTATACTCTGGTGTATTTCATAGAATTCTGCCCTTCACCCTCACCCCCAGTCTATATGCCCTCAAATTGCCAAGAATGTATGTCTTGCCCAGCAGTGGCCCTATATTTATTTAATACTAGCTTCAACACTCACCACTAGCTGCCAATTTAGCCCATAAAAATTGTAGCCTCTCCAATTAAAAATGGGCAAAGGAAATGAACAGACACTTCACCAAAGAAGACATTCAAATGGCCAACAGACACATGAGGAAATGCTCACGATCACTAGCCATTAGAGAAATGCAAATTAAAACCACAATGAGATACCATCTCACCCTGGCATTACTGGCATGACTTAAGAACACTGGAAATAACAAATGTTGGAGAGACTGCGGGGAGATTGGAACTCTTATGCACTGCTGGTGGGAATGCAAAATGATACAACCATTTTGGAAAATGATACGGTGCTTCCTTAGAAAGCTAGAAATAGAAATACCATACAATCCAGCGATCCCACTCCTAGGAATATATCCTAGAGAAATAAGAGCCATCACATGAATAGACATATGCACACCCATGTTCATTGCAGCATTGTTCACAATAGCAAAAAGATGGAAACAACCTAGATGTCCATCAACAGATGAATGGATAAAGAAACTATGGTACATACACACAATGGAGTATTATGCAACATAAAGAACAATGATGAATCTGTGAAGCATTTCATAACATGGATGAAACTGGAGGACATTATGCTTAGTGAAATAAGTCAATCACAAAAGGACAAATATTGTATGAGACCTCTACTGTAAAAACTCATGAAAAAGTTTACACACAAAAAGTAAAAATCTTTGTTGGTTACCAGGGATGGGAGGGGTGGGGGGGAAAATACTAAATAGACTATAGATAAGTGGTAACTTTGGTGAAGGGTAAGATAGTACACAATACTGGGGAAGTCAGTACAACTTGTACAAGGAAAGGTCATGGAAGCTCCATAGACACATCCAAACTCCCTGAATTGTTGGGTGGAGGGCTGTGGGGACCATGGTCTAGGGAAACATCTAGCTCAATTAGCATAAAACAGGTTATAAAGACAATGTTCTACATTCTACCTTGGTGAGTAGCATTTGGGGTCTTAAAAGTCGGTGAGCAGCCATCTAAGATATTCCACTGGTCTCACCCCTTCGGGAGCAAGGGAGAATGAAGAGAATAGGATATAAGGAAAAGATTAGTCCAAAGGACTAATGGACCACAGCTACCAAGGTCTCCACCAGACTGAGTCCAGTACAGCTAGATGGTGCCTGGCTACCACCACTGACTGCTCTGACCAGGATCACAACAGAGGGTTCTTGACAGAGCCGGAAAAGGATGTAGAACAAAATTCTAACACACAAAAAAAGACCAGGTTTACTGGCCTGACAGAGACTTGGAGAAACCCCAAGAGTATGGACCCCGGACACCCTTTTAGCTCAGTGGTGAAGTCACTCCTGAGGTTCACAGTTCAGTCGGGGATTGGACAGCCCCATAAAACAAATTGGGACTAATGAGGCACAGCAGTCCAGGGACAAGGACTAGAAGGCAAGAGGGGACAGGAAAGCTAGTGATAGGGAACCCAAGGTTGAGAAAGGACAGTGTTGACATGTCTTGGGGTTGTTAACCATTGTCATAGGGCAACATGTGTACTGTTTAATGAGAAACTATTTTGTTCTGTAAACCTTCAACTAAAGTACAAAAGAAAAAAAAAGAATGATCTATGCGAGATCAAATTGACAACAGCAACTCAAAAGGTTTGATGGGAAGCCAAGGGGATAGTGAGTTGAAGACAATGGTGATGGAATAATTTGGAAAAGTATAGTGAGAATAGCAGCACAACTGGAAGAATGTAATCGATGTCACTGAATTGTACATGTAGAAATTTTTCAAATGGTTTATCTTTGGCTACGTATATTTTCACCAAAAAAAAAAAAAAAAGAAAAGGTCCTTCAAGGTTGAGAAGGGAGAGTGTTGACATGCTGTGGGGTTGTTAACTAATGTCATAAAACAATATGTGTACTGACTGTTTAATGAGAAACTATTTGTTCTGTAAACCTTCACATAAAGTACAATTAAAAAAAAAATTGTAGCCTCTAGTCTTTTCCTCCACAACCAATATAAACTAAAGAAATGAAGAGAGTCAGGCAGAAAACGTGAAACTGGTGGAGAACAGATAGGATTCCTGGTGTGTTAAATGTTACATGGCTGTTAGATGTTTCTTTTTATATATATATATATATATATAAAAGAGCTAATAATTACACCCTATTTTATAGTACCCATGTCCTTGAAGCTCAAGGTGCTTTAGAAATATATTTTCTCCATAAATATGAACCCTAAGGATGTTCCCTGGGGCAAGATTGAAATTTTGAAAAAGTACATTTACAGAGAAACTGAAGTATTGGATCAACAGAAAATTAAGCTTTAAAGGATAAAGTTTTCAAGTCCAAAAATATGCTCAATGTTCTGTCCATGAGGTTTATAACATTAGGAGACAGGCAGCAGGACTCAGGGTTATAACCTTCAAGTCAAATGTGACAATTTCTGCTGGGAATCATACGCATGATCTCACACACTCCTGGTCCTCTTTCTATCTCAACTTAATGTGTTTTATGTTTTTAATGAATAACCATTTAATACCATACTCCCTCTGTAAGCTGGTGCTTAGCCCTTAACTGACACAGAAAACATATGTGCAGATTAATAAATGTGTACAGAATGAATAAACAAAATAATTTGTAAACATGTAGGTGCTAAAAGTGAGAAATTCATATCCTTGTTTTTTCTAAAGTTACAAAA